CCCCGGCGCAGGGGTAGGAGAGGGCCTCGGGGGTTCCCCCAAGCCTTGGGCGAGGGGATGAACCCCCTCCAGGGCGGGTGAGGAGGCCTCGGTTCTTCACTCTGCGGAGAGCAGAGGCTCCCTTCCTCCTCCTCCTCATCCTTCTCCTCCTCACGCACAAACACTCCCGTCCCCCTCCACGCACCTCCAGCGTTTCGGGGTCCGGTCTGCCGACAAGTTGGTCACCCCACTGCCGGGTGCAGGGTTTTGCCAGCTGCTCTTCTCCCTCGCGTGGGTGCTGGCCGGCATCTTTGTGCCGGCCATGGAGAGATCAGGGGGAGGGGGTGGGAGGGAGTTGTTACGGGGTCTCTGCTCGGGAGCTGCCGCAGCGTCGACGGGATTTTCTTTGAACAGCGGGCAGCAACAGGGGAGAGACGTAAGGAAGCAGGAGCTAAACCGAGCACTGCCTTTCTCCGAGCAGAGCGCAGGCGTTCGCGGTCCACCTCACGGGAGAGGGAGAGGAGGCGAAGAGAGCGGTCCCGGTCCCGGGACAGGGACAGGAGGAGAAGCCGTTCTCGCTCCCCGCACAGGAGACGCTCCAGGTGAGGGACAGAAACGCCAGCGCCGCGATGGGGACAAGCTGGAGAGCCGGGGTGAGGCGCAGTTCGGGTGGCACGGGGACGGTGGGAATTCGTTAACGCTGTAAAACCCTCTGCGGTCACGGCACTGCTGGGAAGCTGCAAACCCGCCTGCATTTGCAACATCAGGTCGCCGAGACGGCATCGATCCAGCTCCTCCTCCCCACCACGGCTGAAGGAGAGGCGGGATGAAGAGAAGAAGGAGATAAAGGACTCCAAAGGCAAAGAGCGTCAGATCACGGGTGAGGGGGTGAATTTTCCTCCTTAAACACATACTGGGTGCTGAATTCCCCACCTGGGTTAGGACCAGCCTAAGGGACACCCAGGTTTTTGGCAATGGCTGCATTTGTTGAACTCTCCTGTTTTGTTGCCTCGGCAGAGGAAGATTTGCAGGGCAAGACGGAAGAGGAAATTGAGATGATGAAAATGATGGGCTTCGCCTCTTTCGACACGACAAAAGTGAGTGCAGATGGGCACAGCGGAGCCCGCAGCTGCCTCCACCGGGCTCGGCGGTGTCACAGTGCCCTTTTTGGGGATAATATGCTGAGCGTTGAGACCTTTTGTTGTAATGTCTTTCAGGGGAAGAAGGTAGATGGTGCCGCAAATGCATATGCAATCAATGTGTCTCAGAAGAGGAAGTACAGGTTTGTGCCCAGCCTTTTTTTCTGATAGGAAGAGAATTTCTTTGACGAGATAACACAGTATGGAGGAAACTCTGCAGCCCTATGTCGAAGCTGCTGTCTCTTGGTGCGTGTAGGGGGGTGATCCGGCTTCTCAGGCCTTCAGAAAAAGACAAAGTTTGTGGTTTTCACTGTTAGACAGAGGTGAGAGGCCTCTGGTTTCTCCTGGAAACGGTGACAGCAGAGGGATGAGGAGCAAAAGAGTGTGTTGTATGCGGGCAGGACGTGCCAGATGTGGCCTGAATGGGGTTGCAGCAGTGACCCTGCTTCAGCAGCACTGTTTGCCTGTTTCTCAGCAAAAAAAGCCGCTGAATGCCGTTACGGGCCTCCCTTGGGTATTTTTGTCCAGATTTCTTACAGAGCTGGGAGCCCCCGGGTGGGTTTTATTCCCGGCGGTTACTCTGGTTCCTTCCCTCTGGCCACAGGCAGTACATGAACAGAAAAGGAGGATTCAACAGACCCCTGGATTTCATTGCCTGACGCTGGCCTCGCTCGGGGGAGAACCACCCGCCAAGGAGGATTTCACTTCCTGACGCGTGCGCAGGCAGCTTCGGAGACCGGATTTCAGAGGAATTTGGGTTATTCCCAACAAATCCCACCATGCTTGCCCTGCCCCATGGCCAGAGCGAAAAAAAGTCGCTCTTTCCCGGAGTCTTCGGGGGGTTTTTTTGTTTTTTTGTTTTTTTTTTTTACGATGTCCCTCGTGGTTCGTTCTTCGCCAGGATTTCATTGTGTTTTTCCTGTTGTGTTTTGACGTCATGTCATGTTCCCCGTTACAATAAAACCCCGAATATATTTTTCCTTTTATTTTTATAATTCAGGAATAAAGTGTGGGTGGCAGCAGCGCCCATTTGGGGCCTTTTATTGTGGAAAACTACTTTTTTTTTTTTTTGCTTATTTTTCTGATGGCCCAGCTGGATGTTTTCTGACAGTGGGGTGTTCTGCTCGCTTCTTGGCTTCTGTCTTTTGCTAATTAACGTCTTTTGCTAATTAGCGCCCGTCTCGCGCC